AAAAGTATCCTGACTCCACAAGACTATGCCTCTACTTACACTTTTTCCCACATTTACTACACTCTAGTGTACTTGTTTCTGCCCCTTTTAGTTTATAAACTCCCCAAAGGCTGGAATTTGGTCTTGTTTACTGCCACATCCTCAATGATTAATTCAGTGTCTGTTAGGTGCCCAATTAACATTAGTTAAGAAGACAGGAGGAGACAGGAGAGAGAAGGGAAGGGGAAGTAAAAAGGATCAAGATGCAGTATGAATATGTGCCCATTTGCCATGATGAATGTATTTATTATCTCTCTCAAACATACACTGTACTAATAAAAAAAGTTAAATCTCCATAGGTAGGAAGGAAGGCAAAGAGCATTCCATTTCGAACAGATGAGCAAAGGTGCTGAGCAGAACTGTGCAATGAGTGTCTTTTGTTTTAGAGAAGGGAAAGGCTTAGACTAGAATTTTAAATTATTTAACAGCTTTAAATTATTAAACACTTTTGTATCCTAGGCAGTTCTAAAGATGATGCAAATACTAGCTAATGGCCTCAACAATAACCCTGTAAAAGTGGTACTGCTGCCCTTCCCTTCTAATGGATGGAGTGAAGTAAACTGTCCAGAGACACAGCTATTAGGTAGTAAAGCTCGGATTCATGTATCCAGATGGTTTTAGAGTTCATGTTCTTTTAATTTTTTTTCCCCTGGTACTGGGATTGAACCCAGGGCCTCTGCACTGAGTTACATCCTCAGTCCTATTTTTATTTTTTTATTTTGACACAGGCTCTAAATTGCTAGGTTGTCCAGGCTGGGCTCAAACTTTCAATCCTCCTCCCCAGAGTGCTGGGATTACAGGCAGGTGCCACCATGGCCCACTGAGAGTTCATGCTCTTAGCACTATTCTACTTTTGTTTGACCAGGAAGGTTTGCAAGGCAGGACAGTAGAGAACAGGCAAAGATGACAAATTCTAGTGAGATCTAAATATCCAGCTAAAGAGTTTTAAGAGTTTATTCTGTGGACAGTAAGAAAGAAGTCACAAAAAGCTTCTATACAGAGGAGAGTTTTAGAAAAATGTGGCAAGTAATTTTAGTGTTAAAAAATAGTAAAAAGAGCTAATAACACCATAAGGAAACAACCAAACTCCTATACCCTGTGTGATATTCTATAGGATAACAGGCCTAGTCTCATCAACAAATGAGTGGCATAAAATATACTAAATGGATTAAGAGAGACTGATGGAATATAGTATTCAGATGTAATAAACTTGTGTTCTTTGATTAGTTATAGGTTTGAACTAACCAACTTTGGGAGGGAGGCTGTTGAGACAGGGTCTCGGCTGTGCAGTTTCGGCTGGCCTTGAACTGTCAGTAACTCTTTTGACTCAGCCTCCCCAGTGCTGGGATTACAGGCATATACCACTATAAACAACTACAGTATAAAATGACATTTTTTAACTAATTGAGGAAATCTAGATGTGGTCTGGTATAAAATGAAAAATTTTACAATGTGTTATGTACATGTACCACCTCCCCACAAAGAATATAATCATTATGTACTCTAAAGATGTAGTACTAATAAAAATCAAAAACTTTTTAACAATAAAATTTTAATGAAATGGAAATCAACTGACAAAAACAGTAATTAAATAATCTCAGTTTATTTGTTTATTGGTTTTTTGAGACAGGGTCTTCCTTTATAGTCCAGGCTGGCCTTGAACTGACTATATAGCCCAGGCTGACCTCAAACTCATGGCAATCCTCCTGCCTCACCCTACTGAGTGCTGGGATTATAGGTGTGTGCCACCATGCCTGGCGTGATCTCAGTTTAGAAAAAGACTTATCTTTATATAAAAGATCAGAAAGGATATAAAACTGTTTTTATACTACTGATTTCTAAGAGATATATATTATCTTTTGCTTACCTGTATTTTAATTTTCTATAGTATGTATTTGCTGCTTCCATAATAAAAGGTTATTAAAGAAATACAATTATGCTGGCCCTGAAAATGTGACCAATTTTAGTGGGGCATGGTGGCACATGCCTCTAATCCCATCTACTTGTGAAGTTGAGGCAGAAGGATCCCAAGTTTCAAGGTAGCTTGTGCAACTTAGCGAGACCCTGTCTCAAAATAAAAAATAAAAAGGGTTGGGGGTATAGCTTAGTGGTGGAGCATCCCTGCACTTCATTCCTAGTGTTTAAAAATTTTTTTGATTGGTTTTCTTGAAGTTTGTTTTTCCATCCTGGACTCCCTTTCTTTTCTTCTCTCATTCTTAGAGGTGCTAAGGATTAGGGTGCCATGCATGCTAGGCAAGTGTTCTGCCATGAGGCACAACCCTAGTCCTGGATCTTGTTTTTGAATTGCAGACTCAAATACTGAACTGCTCACCCAATGTCTCTTCTTGGATGTTTAACAGACAGAACAGAGCCAGCATACCCAAAACTGGCCTCATCTCTTCCTCCAAAATGTCTTTATTCTTTATCTCAATAAATAGTATTTCAAGGGCTGGGGACTTAGCTCAGTGGTTCCACTGTCTGCCTCACAAGCCCAAGGTCCCGAGTTCAATTCCTGGTACCCAAAACAAACAAACAACATCAACAGCAACAAAATTAGTATATCAATTTATTCTGGTGGGGCCAGTTAAAAATCTCAAATCATCTTTGCTCCCCTCTATGCAAATTATCAGCAAATCTCAGTAATGTTGCCTCTGAACCACATACAGACCTAGAAAGTTACAAATATGGAAAGGAAAAAGGCTAGTATAAGCCCTATGGTGCTGGACTGTAAATGAAGTCTTGATATAACTCAGAGTTATATACAGGAGGTATGCAGATGAATATGTGTATTTGTGTGTGCACACAGTAACAAATTCCAGTATTAATGAGCATAACTAATACATAGATCTTAGTTTCTACCAGAACCAGGACTTCTTAGAGAAATGACTTATTCCAGGCTAGGAAAAAAAAAAGTACAAGCATAGCTTGAAACATCTTGTATGAGAACGTAAAAACATATTCAAATAATCATACCAAGAAAATAAAAGCCTCAGCTTGAAGGGTTCTTACCGGCCAAATCAATGTTGTGTCAAAATAAATAGCAAAAGATTATAACCCACTGGATTAAATAGGAATCCAGTGAATATATACTAATATAAATAATAATAAAAGGGACTGAAGATATAGTTCAGTGCAAAGGCCTGAGTTCAGTCCCCTGTATTTAAAAAAATAAAAGTAAAAAAAAGAAAATATAAGGCCGGGGATTTAACTCAGTGGTTACGGCGCCTGCCTTGCAACCGCAAGGTCCCGAGTTCGATCCCCGGTACCAAAAAAAGAAAAAAAGATAATATGTGTGTAAAATCTATAGTCATATATAAAAATAAGGTAGTGTTGTTAATGATGGTGTTGCTATTTTTTTTTTTAAAAAAAACCTTTATTTAAGCTAGACATGGTGGACATGTAATTCCAACACTCTGGGAGGCTAAGGCAGGAGGACTGGAAGTTTAAGCCCAAACTGGGCAAGTTGGCAAGACCTTGTCTCAAAATTTTAAAAAAGGGCCGGGGATTTAGCTCAGTGATTCCACCACCTGCCTCGCAAGCCCAAGGACCTAAGTTCGATCCCCAGTACCAAAAAACTAACTAACTAAATAAATATAAAAAGTGCTGAAGAGTCGGGCATGGTAGTGATGTAGGAGGTAGGGCATGGCGAAGTTGGCTGGGGAACTGAGCAGGACCTGTCAATTACAAGATCCCAGGACAGTGCCAAATAATTCTCAGGACCCTGGATGTAAACAGCCAAGAAGCCGGAAGGAGCCACTATGGTGAGTTTCCAAGATAGCCCAGCGTTGCGTTTCTCAGATGCAGCATGTACTTTTATTTTGCTTTTATCTTTTTTCTCTTGTTCTGCCCAAGTTCACTCCACAGAGCTGTTTCTCCCACACCTATTCTCCCACCCTTCACTTTTCAAATAAACTTTTGACACCGTTTTTGGCTTGTTTCGTCCAATTCTGTGTTCAAAGCAAGAAGGACCTGAAATACTTCTGATTGGTGAGCCATTTCTAAAGGACTATCCAATAACAGCAGCAGATGCCTATAACCCTAGCACTTAGAAGGCCGAGTCAGGGGGGTCTCAGCCAGCTCGGGCTATATAGTGAGTTCAGGGGTAGCCTGGGATA